GCTGGGAGGAAAGCACAAAAAATCCATGTGATGCATCCTGCAGTTGGAGCACATGGGAAGTTTCACTGTTCTTAAAGCCTGTTACCTTGCTTTAAAATCTCAGAAGTTTTGCCGTGTTTTCCTTTCATACTTTTTTTCCTTTATTGACTGTATCTTCATAAGCTTGAGAGAACAGATTATTAGGAAGACTGGAAAGTGGTGTCATAATCACAGAGCAGCTGCTGAAATCACAGTGACTTTACGTTTGCCTTTATGAACACCACTGCCACAAAGCTATTGCTGCTGCAAAGCCATCCTAATGCACAGAACACTAAGCTCTATGACCTGCCAGGATCTGGTAGTCATGGTACTGCGTAGTGCTGTGCATTTCATCATTCCTCTGTATCTCCCTCCCCTTTCCCCCTTGAAGATAAATTACACTTTATAAACAGATTTTCTTTCTTTTATTTACACTACTTTCTTTGGTCAGTAGCTTGTTTTGACAGGAACGTCTAGTGCATGCAATAGCCTGTGTCTCATCTATACATTTGTAGTTGGAGAAGGAAGGATGGACGGTGTGCACACGTGTGTACAGCCACGCGTTCATATGTGCACAGAGAGAGAGCAAATCCCCACTAAGCAAACAAGGGCAGAGTTGTGTTACGAGTCCAGAATAAAAGTGACTGTATTTTGTCATTTAAACAGGATAATTAGCTGGGGCAGCACACTTCCCAGCGTGGCTGTGAGCCTCCATGCTAGACTGGGTATTTCTCTGTCCCTCCCATGCTTGCTTAATGATTTTAAGGAAATGAAGGAGCCAGTCGCTGAGTCATGCAGAGCTTCTGAACGTCAGATCTAGGAGCATTACTTATGTTCCTTACTGTGCTTCTAGCTTACTGGACTTACTTAATCCTATCAGTGCTTGATTACATTGTGACAGCCTTTCATTGTTCCTACAGGCCACTGTGTGCCCTGATACCTACTCAGAATTCACATTCTTACACTTCATCTATTTATGCATATTGATAGTGCTAACTATGCAGCATTTTCAGTCTGCGAAGGAAGAACATGTACCAGTAAATTAAGCTGATGGGAGAGACATAAATATTTACTATTCTTACTTGGTTTGACAGTGGTATTATCTTTGGTAGTTCATTGCTTTCTTACACTTTGTGTTTCTGATTTGAACTACAGTAATTAATCAGCATTTACCATTTTGTTAAACCCCTCTTCGCATTGTGCGATAGCTTTTTGTAGCAGCAAATCAGAGCAGGCCCTGCTTCATCTTTTAAATGTTTAAAATTCCTGTTTTCCATTTAAACAGCTGCTTACTAGTATTTCTGAGACAACAAGTTAGAACAAAACAGCCGTTTGTGAATGCTGTTAGAGAAACACTGAGTCTGATTTCTAAAATGTAATACATTAAAAAATAATAATCTGCCTACCTGTGAAAAATTAATCAGATTAAGTAATGACCTTAATATAATTTTCTTTGGTCACTCATGTTGAGGAAATAAGAAATTCCCTTCAGATTCTAAAAGTAATTGTGACAGAGTAGTTTCCCTAAATTCTACTGCCTTGGTGAGTAGCAGTGTTTGCCATAGGAACAGTAAACTCCATAGTTATGTCACTTTTTTTTCTCTGCCCCCAAAAAACAGTGCAATACTGCACAATGGACCAAAGCTAAGCTGCGGTAGGGCACAGCTGGGAGCCACTGGTTTTACCACATAGTGCAGACCTTGCCATTGGCTCCACAGAAACACAGAAATCTGCCAACTATAACGTATTCCCAAATGAATTGCATACGAGATGTCAGGCATAGTCCTTGCCCAAGTGAAATACCATCAGCTTCAATGTACACGACTGGTGGCCATTTGATACACTGTGTAGAGCACTTCTATGAACCACCTGGCTGCAGGGTGCCCAACTTCACTACCCTCTGAATTGGAAACTGGCTATCACATTTATTTAAGTGTTCATCTGTTAATAGGAGGCGCCGCGTGCCTCAAAAGAGAAGGAATGAAAATCTGTGAGCAGCCAGAGATGATGCACTCATGTACTGCACATCTAACTGCTGCATGGAACTGTCTATTTCATTGATGAGCCACTAAACCTCAAGTGGAGCAATGCTGATACACAATGCAGCTTGGTTGTATTAACCATATAAAGGCTTCATAGCCTCCTTAAACTCTCCCGACATCTCCTCCAAAATTTGAGATTATGTCTGTGGCATTTACAGGGCTGCCAGGAATGTTTTCCCTGGGAAGAGATACTTGCAAAGTTCCTGATAACTGCTACAATGAGAGAAGCCCTTGTTTGCCCTTCCATCCATCTTTGGAAAGTACCCCATCGACAGTTCTCTGGGAATGGAGAATGAAATCTTAAGTTGTGGGCAGGAACAGTGGCCAATTCTACCTGTTTCCTAAAAAGATTATTATTTCCCTACATTCTTTGGGCATTTCCAGAGAGCTTGAGAGTGAAGTCATTTTTAACAAAGCATCTTGTCCTTACTCTTTCAAAAGCAGCAAAAGGGCTGCTTTGTAGATACTGTCCCTTCCTCAAACACATTTTTGAGAAAAGCCCACACCACCTGCCTGCCATTATTCACTCCATGCAAGGTCACCCTGTCCGAAGCTGTAATTTCTCTTCCACATGAAGAAGAACTGGGACCTCCTCAGAATCAAGGACTGATTTAAAACCTTCACTGTACAAAGTTGACTAATGCCAAGGGTCTTGTTTCTGTCCATAGTGCCCCAGTGGATCTATGTGATTCCCCAAGTACTCTCTGGAAACTGCTGCTCTTTGCCAGGTTACAGGCATATAAATTAAACTCCCGTGGTCCTCTGCACAAACGAGATGAGGATCCTACATCCACTTCTGGACTCCAGCACTGGCTCCCCATGCCTGCTCAACATGTGCTGGCTCCTTAATGACAGCCAAAAGGCAGCCAATTTCTGACTGCCATGGCCACCTATATGTTTCTACAGCAACCATGCGGGGAGAAGCAGACACCCCTTGGGATGCTGCAACACACTGCAGGTATCGGGGTGGCACTGCAGGCAGCTTTTGCTTAACGGCATGCCAAGTTTGCAGGGTTGGCACTTCTCATGTCAGGTGGCTCAGGAAAGGAACATTGCTGCTTCATCTTGTGTCAGTAAAGACCAATGAAGTGCCAAAAAGATAAACTTCTGCCTGTCAGGGCTGATACCACCTTGACAGCTTTGGTTACAAGTGAATTACCTGATTCTACTCGTGTGGCTGCTAGGCTATTGATTTAGGTCTGTGTGACAGCTTTATCGTTTCATCACCTGGGTTTAGTGCTCTGAATCCAAACAGTGACATTAATGAAACATTCTTCTTCCAATAATAAAGAAAACAATAGTATTCCTCAGTGCTCATCTGATGGGCTTTCAAGAAGAAGCTGCCTTCAAAATTCATTTGATAAACTGCTATGTGGTATTATCAATATTTGTAACAAATGCAAGTAGTTCTCAGACTGTAAACAGTGAGGCAGTCAGTGCTAACTTAAAAGTCACCATTTGAAGGGTCAGCATACAGATGTGTGCAGGAGGGAGCTGCTGCCATTTTTATTTGTAGCTATTTCTATGTACGTGTGCATAGGCACAAAACAGAGAAAGCATTCAGGTTTCTATTCCCATTTTCAGCAGAACTGTAACTAAATCTTAAAGGTAAAAAGCATTCATCACCATCCAAGGGCTGCTATACTTATTTGTAACAGTTTGAGTTAAAACTGTCCAGTCACTGAGATCACACAAAAACAGGCACTAGATGGCTGCTGTAAGAAACTAGAACCACCGCAGCTTTGAACTGGTAGAGATGCCTTTGGATACCAACCTGTTACGATGAGTGTGTGACACTTTGTGGAATGCCCTTCATAGTAGTGCCTGCCTCAAAATACCTGGATCCTACCATGCTTTTTCTCTGTGGCAGCTGAGATTTCTGTAAGTTATTGGTGTTCTCACAATGTTTTAAAATAACCAACCAACCAAACAATTTTCCATCTCTTCTGTGTTTTACTCACTTAGAAAAAAATACCTGGTTTCTCTTTTTCTCTGGATAGACCTTGTTCTGCCTCACACTGGGTACTGCACTACCCTTCTGCAGCTGCCAAGTTGGTCATTTGACCCCTTTTTAAATATGCAACACATAGCACAAGCCATAGGAAGCCACAAAACTGTTAGCACCTGCTTGGAGGATCATGTAAATTAAATCAGTGTCAAGAGCAATGAGTATCACCTTGATTGGTCAGCCATTGAGCAGCTCTGCCACCCAGGGGAAAGTGCTTGTGCCTTGCACCACCAACTCTGCAAATTTGCTGGTTAAAAAGCTGTAAATTGTACCACAAGACTGAGATATTCTGTTCTACTTATTGTATCCAACCAAGCTACGCTAACACAAAACTTCCCATAAGTGCAGATAATCTTTTTCACACTGTCCACCTGTATTGCTATTGCTCCCAGTTCTGGCACCCACTGCTCACAGTCCAGGATCTGTATTCTTTTACAGGCTTGCATCCCCATAAAAGAAAAATCTGGAAAAAAGAAATACACTCCTGAATTTTTCTATGCTTGCGAAAGCATTTCTTGAAGCCCTCTCTTTCCTACCAGTATTCAAGTCACAGGGAGTCATTAGAAGTACAGCTAAAATTAAGTCAGGTTTTAAAATCACGTCCATTACTGAAAACAGTAAAATTTCTTACGCTCTTTGCATTGTAGGAAAAGGCACAAGCACTTGAACAACAGAGAGGAGGAGCTGTCAACAGGTTTTGTGCTTGGTAAGTGTGCACGGTACTGCTTGCCACCTGAATTTGGCATGCCAATCCTTCACAGCACTAAAGCTGGTAGAACTGTGAGTGTCCAGTAAAAGCAGGTGGGTAGGAAACAGAGAGGAGCCAGGAGATGGCATTTCTCTAAAAATCTCATGATTGCGTCAGCGTAATCAGTAAAAACCAACTGACAGATCTTGCAGTAGAAATGGCGTAGTGAAATAAATACAGTATCTTAAACAGGATTAAAATAGAACATTTTACTAGTTATTTCAAAGAATAGATTCTTCTTCTTCCATCATTCTTGTCTGTATGTTCAGACTCCAGCTAAACTCCAAACAGATTTTTTTTTTTTTTTTTTTGTTAGGTATTAAGTCCAAATATGCCAAGGTAAAAGATTTAGGAGAAAGAAATACCCGACCTTTTTGTTTCTCGCATGGAAAGCTATGTTGCGTTTCTCATGCCTAAAAACAAGTACTGTCACTCAAAATATTTGGTCAGAAACCTCAAGTTGAAAAGGAGGTATTTGACAGAAATGTCACATTTACATTAGCATAACATGCAAACAGCCTCTAAAGACAAACACTGAAAGAAGTTTCCTGTAGCAGAACCTGTGCAAGGGGAAAACAAAACAAAATCACAGTAGCACAAGTCCATTTACTACCAGAGAAGAACCAACAACGATTGTCATCCAGATCTTGAGGTAAAACTTAACCATATGGGCAGGAAAAGAAGGATGATGCCAGTCTTATCATCATTAATTGCACGCATTTATCAGTTGACTCTTCCAATCTTTCAAGAGGTAATTGGTATTGTTCTCACAGCTAGTTTGATCTCATCCTGAAGAAAAAGTTGGTATAACGTAACAGGACACTTTTTTCGTGTGAATATACACTTGCTTTTCTTTTTTTCCTTTAATATCTCATTGGAGAAGAACAGTTTGGTCTGTATTGCTAATGCTTTTTAGCTACTACTTGGTAATTGTTAACAACAGTATCTCACGGCTCCCTGCTGAAGGTGTAAAATGACACATTCACTACTTCAAGTTACAAGCAGAAGTTAAAAGCAGCTGCCAGCATTTTATGTAGTGTATTTCACAACTAATGCATACTTCAAAGATTTTGAAACAATTCTGTGTCTTCTGTCAGTTTTTGCCCTTCCCAGCTGCATTTAGACATATTAGCCTTGGAAAATGTTCACTTTTTATCCCCTTCACCATGATCCTTTATCTTACAGCAGGTTTATGTTTGAGTGGAATGGAGTTTGAACCGTTTAACCCAGCAGCTATCTGGGCTTGAAAATCTATCTATCCCCTCCCTATTAATTACTTTTTACACCTCTTTCTGTCTCATAGAGTCCTATATCATCCTGGTTTATTTCAGAGGAATATAGCCATAGGATGACAATTATTGATGGATCATAAAAACTGGAGCTAAAAGACTGTAAAAAGAAGAAAACATAACTGATGTGGGAAGAGATGAAAAGATAAAAAATTGACTAGAGAAGAAAATCGGAATGAGCTAATTCACAAAAGAAAATGAATAAATCACGGACAGGTAGCTCTGAATAAGATTAATTGCTACACATTTCCTTCTCCTTTACAGTTTTTACTGTACTTAATCAACTGTTTCTCAGTTCTGCTTAAATACGCTGTACTCTTACAATGCTAATTCCACTGTTCTGTAAGTTTGCTACTTCAGTGTGGAGTGAGATTCTCTGCTTGCATAAACTGGCCATATCGCTATTGACTTTGGTACTGTTACTCAGATTTAACCAGCCGAGGATTTGCTCCTTTGACTTTCATGGATTTATTTTTAATTTATTCCTCTGAGCTCAAAATCAAGAGCTCTGGATGTAAATCTTGAACATAAATAGACACTTTCCAAATCTGAACAGTATAGCCACAAGTACCAATACAGGAAAAACAAGCTAGGCATGTATAGAACTGTCTGAAAAGTTAACCAAATGTTGCTGTGCATATATTAGTAGTTTACCATTTATTAAACAATAAATCAAGATAAAAAAACTAATTAACTTAAATTAAATTAAATTTAAATTAAAGTATTGTTTAGTGAAATGTGAGCCTGTCAAAATAGTTGTTGGGGAGGACAATTAATTGGTACAAATGTGAGTGCAAATTTTGTTTTTAAACTTTAAAGCATGTCATTTGTAGTATACAACATATGTGCACGATACAAATTTCATACATTTTCTTCAGTGACAATAAAAAGTGCAGTTTATTATAAACTGAAGTAAAAATTAAAATTAAAAAAAAAAAAGAAAAAAGAAAATCACAGTTTTGTCATTGGTATGTGAAGGTTATTCCAAGGGCCCATCCAGAGTTCCTCTTCATCTGACTGTGTGTGTTCACTGTGAGACTCCAAGGGCTCTTTTACGTCCTCATTATCAACAACAGATTCTTGCTCTTCTGTGCTTTTCATTTTGGAGCCCCCTGGCTTCGTTACTATGTTTTCAGCCCCTATAGAGGAAGCAAATGAGACACTACAAGGTCTTGTGTTCACTTTATCACTAGAAGATGGTCCCTTTGACAGTGTGTTCAGTGGGACGTTCTCCTCGTGTGTCACTGCAAGCTTGTCCAGTTTCTTGAACTGTTTCCCCAGCCTCACTGGAGATGTCACTTTTAAATTATTAGCAAGGCAAACACGACGGGTTCTGACAACAGAGCCATTCTGTGCAATGTAGATGTTACCATTGACGTTGTTTTGAATATTGGGGTTATTAAGACGATTCCTCTGGCTGGAATCAGGAGCGCTGTCTTCTCCAGTAGAGCTGGTCTCATACTCCGGGTCAACTACCAACTTGATCCTTTTCTTTCTGGCCCACTGTTAGACAGTAAATGGAAACGTGATTAAATCTCAGTATGATTTCTTACAGCTTTTTGTCCTTTTTCCAATCTATCTCATCTGTTATCTAGACACTTCATGGGAAATTTTGATCTGTACCACTCCTTTCATACTGTACATTCTAACTCTTCTGACTACCACTGCATACCACTGTCATATATGCCTGATAAGCTTGAACACAGAAACAATTCCATGTACTTGAAAGTCTAGACCAACTCAATGGTTGGACCAGATGATCTTACAGGTCGTTTCCAATCTTGTGATTCTACGATTCTATGAAAGTTATAAGAATGAACTCAACTTGTGAACAGCATCACGTCACACAGATGGCATAAAATAAGCTATAAAAGGTATAAAGGTGTAAAAACTTCAAGGGAGGAGTGGAGGGGTGAGTTCTAAAGATGCATTCAGCTCTGTTGCCATTAAGTCAAAGTGCATCTTCTTTTCAGAACTCTGGATACAAAGACATTGCTTTGAGAGCAGATTTCTGTATATCGGTATTAGTAAACCAGTCGTATTTCAACAAAGCAATGTGTTTGACTTACAAAGAGACATGAAAAACAACTGAACTAGTGTCCCTTTCTAACTGAAATCCAAAGCCACTTACAAAAAAGAAATTGGGTGATACTTTTAGTAAAACAGTGTACTAAGGGGTAAATGCTTTGGAAGGCCTTGGAAGTTTTCCTTCACAGCATTACTAAATGGTAGATTCAGTGCAGAAGTAGCATCAAAGGAGTCTATTCTGTATGCAACACCATGTAAAGGACAGTAAGATCTCAGGACCACCGAAAAGGAAATTGTCAGGCACAGTGCTAGCAAAATTGGCTCACTGGAGAAAGACTGATGTAAGGCTTTGTGCCAGTTCCAATCTAGAAGAATCAATGGGGATGATTTGCTATTAAATGGAAGGTGGAGAAAAGAGACTTCAGATTTGTATAAAACATAAATACATTTTTAAAGAGCTAAAGCAAAAAACTTCCATGTTGCAGAGACTTTGTGCTAATAGCGATGAAAAAACCCCATTATTAATTCTAAGTGTCTCCTGGGAACACACTAAAACAAGCTACTACTGTTGAATTACTAACGAAAACACTGTTGTTTCACTAAGGCAGCAGATACCATCATGATGGAGTCCCATATCAACACATACACATGCACGTAAGAAAAGCCAGTTTTTAGAGAAAGAAAATCATGCGAGGTACAAAAGGGTGAGAATTCTTGAGCTTTTGAAAAGTTATACTTCACAGAAACTACTTCTACGTGTATTAATTTGTTTCTGATAAAGATGTATAATTTTCTTAACACGGGTAAATGCCAGTGGATGAAAGGACTAGTTTAAATGGGATCTACATGCAAATACCATGTGCAGCCTGACTTCGTGGGGAATAAAAGAAAGTGAGCAATCATAAATCTAGGTCACACCTCAAGTGAGTTCAGCTCCAAAGCTGAAGAGCTGTTATCACAATTTATTGCTCAAGTATCATACCCAAGTAACAAAGTGTCACTAAAATTCAAATGTTCTTCTCAGTCCTCTCTAACAGGGACTTCTTGGCAGATCTTTGGTGAATATGCCAGAAGTTGTACTATCTTAAAAGTAGACAAAAGGCTAATCCATTACTGGCTCGATGCTTTAATTTTTTTTTTTTTTTTTTAATTACTTATCAGGATAAATGGTTGAGAAACAGCTCTATGAGTTTTGATACAAAGCAGATGAACTGTAGATAGCTTGTGTGTATGCAAAGCTTTCGTGCTTCGCTGTCAGAACAGATAGGAGCACCATGAAGGAGTACACTACGCAGCAGGTGTAGTTTCCTTTTTGAGAACTCAAAGGCCCCTTTCAGTTGTAACCAACAGAAATCCCTCTAATGTAATCGTGTTCTGATGTGATCGTGATTCTAGGCAGAAGTGTGTTGCTGAAAGTGCCATAAGATTTCCCTACTGAATGGCATTAAATACTGCAGATTAGTGAATTTTGAAAGATAAATACCAAAATACTGAACACAGGTGACAGTTACTGATCACCTTCAGCAATAGTTTGCCATTATGCTTCTCAAACTTTTAAACAGATTTTTGTTGTTGTTGTTGTTTAATTAGAACAAAACACTAACAAAATGGAAGGGCAGAAGTTTGGAAGTATAACTCATTTCCTTTTCTGTCCAAGTTCACTTTGTACACCTCTAGACTTCTGCTTTTTGCATCACTGATACTTGAACCTCACAACCCAGAAACAGTTAGAAACAGTTTAATCCCAGTGCTGCTAGTAATACTCAGCAGTTCTGGAAATCCTGCTTTGCTGCAATTTCAATTTCCACCCTGGAGACAGGGTGAGGTTTACAGCTGAGAGCTTGTGAAGTTTAGCAAATACTTTTATGGTAGGGAAATGTAAATGTATGATGTATGTAAATGTAAATGCATGATGTAATATGACATCTAAGTCTCTTGTTCTTCAACGTTTTGCAACTTTTCCTTCCTCAAAGTGCCACTGTGTAACACAGATGAAACGTGTGTGAGCGCAGAGCCCTTAACAGGTTTGTGCTGTCAGGTTCATGAAGCTATCCATCACAGTTAATGCAAAATGTAACGTAGCTTGGCATCACTATATGCATACTGCTAAAATGATTAAATGTAAGATTTAACACGATGCTATATGATTTAAATTGGCAGAGAAATACTCTGTCCTGCCTCTGCTAGATGAAAATTAATCTTTCTGCATCCACCACCATGTATATGTGAATAGTCTTTCAGAAGGATTATATTAGTTTGGTAGTCCACAGGTCTGTCCTTAAGGCATATAAGATTGAAAAGCTGAAACAATAAGCTTTGTGTTTTTCAATTTGGCTATCTCTAGTCAGGTACATGTTTAGGAAAGACCACACAGAAGGCACAGCAAACAAGATCACTCCTTCTTGCAAAATGTCCACCTACTGTTGTTCCTTTTTAAAAGGATGTAGAATCACCAGCAGTCTCAGATTCTGTAACAGCAGTGTCAAGGGTGTCATCTGATTGAGACTGACTTTGCTCTTGGGATCCCTTTTTTATCTTTTTTCTTTTCACGTTGATGTCAGAACTCTGAGTCTCAGTATCAGGGGAAGTAGTAGTCTTGCCAGAAGTGGCACTAGCTGTACTTTTTATCCCCCCAGTACCTTTGGAATTAACACTGATTTCACTTCCATTCTTATTGACAGCTTCCTTCTTGTCACTAGCATCTGTATCAACCTCTTCTGCACTTTCATCCCCATTATCCCCACTGTTAACACCTGATTTTCTTCTCTTATATTCTTCCTTAGCAGCATTTTTAGCACTTCTTGCATTTGCAGATGTTTTAGAAACTGTCTTATTCTTCGTGTTATCTGTTGTCTTATCAGCACTTGCACTGACGTGCTCCATATCTGCTTGCTCATCTTCTTCTGAAACTTCTTCTATCGTGTCTTCTATTTCAAGGCTGGCAGAGGAGGTTTTGCTCTTGTAACTGGATCCTGATGTCTTCCTGTAGCTTGTACCTGATGTGTTCGAACTGACTGATTTCTGGCTGGATCGCTTTGCTCTGCCACGAGAGCTACTTCCCCTACTTTTCGTACTTGACCTTCCAGTACTTCTTCTGCTGCTGGAGTCACTGGTTCCTGATTTGCTGAATGAACTTTGTGTAGAGGAGCTCTGTGAAAGGCTATCGTCTTCATCGCTGTCAGACTCTTCCTCATCACCGTCCTCTTCAGAAGAGTCCTCCTCTGATTCACTGCTGGAGCTGGATCCAGAGCCTTCATCGGAATCCCCAATATCATGCCCAGATTCCTCATCAGAGTCCACGGTACTTTCAGTGGCTTCATCTTGGTCCAGAGTTACTGTCAGATAGTCTTTATCTTCTGACTCTGACCCAGAGCTACTACTCTTTGCAGACGACTCATCTGAACTGTATTTTCTTCTCCTCTTCTTCTTTTCATAATCACTTTCCTCATGTTCACTCTCTGCTGTGATACTTATTGAAACTCCTGACTTTGCTTCTTCTCTTTCTTCCTCTTCTTTTCCTCCTGATTGCACTGCATCTTTGCTAGTAGGTTCTTGAAATTTTCTGGAGACACTAATGCGTTTTAACACATGATTTAGCTTTCTCATTGAAGGTCTGTCATCTGTAGATTTCTGGAAGTAGCTTCCCCTGATAATCATGCTTTTCTCACCATCTGCCTGGCGAGCTGACATCAACTTGGCATAACTGGAATCTTTCCTAGTGCCTTTCACTTTTTGCAGAATCATTGGGAATATCTTTGCTTTCTTCCATGGAGCACGAGCAGACTCACTTCTTCCTACTGGTTTGTGAGCACTGACTGCTACACGACTTAAATGCATCACCGCTTTTAGTTTTCTCCTTCCCTGGCTGGTTCTATATGCTCTTCCAGAGCCATGCCTTAGATCCATCCCACCATCTAAAGGTCTACCTTCTATTTGAGCCCCTGCTCTCTGGCTTATACCTCTGCTTGAAGGACCTCTGCTTTGACTCATTCCCTGCAAATTACGAAAATGGAACTTGATTAAAATTGGAAAGATAGTTACTATGAAAACTTGTACCCCCAAAAGTAAATCATCAGGAACAAATGCAACACTTTTTTCCAGCACCAAAACTAATGTGTTCTAAATAGCTTCTCACCGAAGTTGTGGGGAAAGTTTAACTTTCAGAAGAGGCTGCAAAAGCACAACTACCTTGCCTTGCAAAAGAGAAAAAGACTGGCTCATAAATGTTATCACTTCTCATTTAATTAAAACCCATGTGATGGATTAAAAATCTAGTAATTATGAATATTAAATAAAAAAGTGAACAATTTCATCTCCTTTCTTCTGGCTGCTACTGACATTTTAAATTTTCTTTACATTCAGTTGTGAACTCTATGTTAAATTAATTTAGGTGACTGATTTTCTCACTGGAAAATCACCAGTTATAGGTTGAATATTAGTAATACTCCCTTCAGTTAACAATATAAAAGGGAATTACCTAAGGCTACGTGAACCTTTCATTGAAGTAGAAATCTACATTAAGGGGAAAAGCAATGTGCGTATTAAAAGAAACTCTGCAATTATTTTTTTGTTTCTATAAGAAGGAAAAGAGGTGCCGATGCAAACGTCAGCAGTCATCTGAAGGGCAAACGATAATTGGGATTGGAAGAGCTGATTATTTGGTCTATATACAATATTCCCAATACTCTAATCCATTAAAAAAAAATTCCATTTGATAAGGTTTACAACTGCTTGAGCTTGTTGCAGAGAGAGAGAATCAACATGGCAGAGATGCTTACCTCTTCTGCTGTTGGCCCATGTGGGCTGTAGTAGTAGCCACCATCGTTCTCCACCATGACTTCCCCGTACTCATCATACATCCCCGAAGGAGACAGCAAGCGGCGGCGGCTCCCATACTGAGGCAGTTCATACCTGGCAAAAACACCACCAGCTCTTTGTGACACGCACTAGTGTATTCATGCACGTCTTCACAACGAGCAGCAAATGCACATACGCATCCCTAAAGGACATTAATTTCTTTACTTGCTATCTTTTTTTTTCCCTCTACCGTTAAGAAGGACATTTAATTTTTGCTCTTGTTTCTATATTAGCAGTAGTGCAGTCTGAAGCCTGCTCCTGTTGGAACCAGCCATAAATCACTACAGCTGGAGGAAGCTCAAACTGCCAGGTCTCCAGAATCTCCCAAGTGCAATAACCTTACTTCACAGTACTTGATTATTTTTTCTTTAACTTCATTGGGGGATTGGTTCTGGAGAATCCTTGCAATCTTGAAAAAAATTCAATAATCTCTGAATTGACTGCAGGCAAACAGGATTTATCCAAACAAGGCAGAATGACATTTTTCTAGGTAAATATAGAAAGCCTGATGCTGGCTGAGAACTATGAGAAGTATTGCTGAACTCAGACTGGTGAGCCACAAAAAGGCTATTTGATGGAAATTCATTTCCAAGACAACAGATATACACAAATAAAAAAGTGAACGTAAAAATGTTTAATGACTACCAGGGGCTACATGCTCTGAGGTAAAATTAGCTTCCTAAAAAATCTCTGAGTTATACAACACCCATTTAAGGTTCAAGAAGTGAGTTTTGTTATTAGCACATTCAGTCGTGGATGCAAAGATTAAAGTAATCCTGGGGTGAAGGAAAGACTACGGATCAGGTGCTGTAATAATAAACATCACCAACCTTGAAAAGCAGCATTTCTGAAATATAAAGGAAAAATAAAAATATACCCATGCTCATAACTGTAGTAATCTTGACCATAGTATTCCTGCCCTGGGTCAATTCCAGACTCCATACTTAACTCCTGTCAAAAGAGCAACATGGATTGAAGGCACAGTCACACACAGAATGACATATGAAAAAGATACAAAGAACAAAGTGCAAAAAAACCAAACCAAAACAAAAAACCCAACAACCCCAAAAGAACTAATAAAGAACATTGATAACCATCAAGATCCATAAAGACAAGTCAACACAAGCTTTAAATGACCCCTTCTGTGGTGTATTCACTCTGAGTGACTGCTCTAAGTCAGCTGAATATTGACACTGAACTGGATTCAGCGCTAATGAAGTGTGATTTCTTGAGCCTCTCTCAATGGAAAAAATCCCTGTTCAAACATTAGGGCTATTTCACTTATACTCTTCATTCAGGTTTCTTTCTTAATGTTTGTGTCCTACAACAACATCAGTGTGTTCTTAAGTTCTCTCCACATGCTGTTGGCATTGGGCTGCTGCATGGAATGTCCTTGCACTGCAATAACAACAAAGAGCACCAAGGCTTTGGTTTTGACAAGGGATGCATGTTGTCCCCATCACACACCTCCAAGGGGGAAAATACCCTGCCCAATTAAACTCAAGTTGCTGCTGAACATCTTGTTGCTGCTTACAATGGCTGTAGAAACTGTCACCATTCTCCACCGCTTGTCAACAAAGCCTCATGAAAGTTACACTTGCTCTATTGCTTATTCTGGGAATGACATAGGGTCTAAAAGATTTGAAAGTGCCGCATTAATAACCCATCACTTCACAGCAGTGTGCTAATGCTTTCATTATCTTGGCAAGCCAACTGCTTAGCTCATCTCCAGGTATAATAATCAATTATCACTTGACTGACATTTGAAAAAACAGAGCGCGGCTGGATATCAAGGAACTGAACACAGTACTTGAGGTGCAGACTCAAAATATCAAGCAGAGGGAGACGATTGCCTCTCCGCTCCTGCCGGCCACTCCATGTGTGATACAAGCCAGGATGCCATTGGACTTCTTGGCCACCCAGGCACGCTGCTGGCTTGTGTTCAGCCAGCTGTCAACCAGCACACCCAGGTCGTTTGCTGCCTAGCAACTTTTCAGACACATTTCCCCAGCCCTGGGAGCTGTTATGACCCAAGTGCAGCGCTCAGCCTTGTTGAATGGACGAGGCTGCCCACTGATCCAGCCCATCCAGATCTCTCCGCAGAGAGATCTCTTCCTACTCTCAGGCAGATGGACGCTCCCACCCAGCTTGGTGTCATCTGCAAACTTAATGAGGGGGCACTCGATCCCCTCATAAGATTGTGTGTAAAAATATTAAACAAACTGGCCGAAGTACTGAGCCCTGGGAAATGCCACTTGTGACCAGCTGCCAACTGAATTTAACTCCTTGCACAGTGCACCAGGGGCTTGGTAGTCCAGCCGGTTCTTTGCTTGGCAAAGTGCACATCTGTTCAGTTCACAAGCAGCCAAAAATCAAACTGCAGTACGTTTCAGGTATTTAACGAAAACTGTATTGAGGTGTTAACAACAATACGACTTTCATTTTCATCTAGGACACTCAGGAAAAAAAAAAAATACAACAGGAAAGAAGAAAGATGAGTTTTGATTAGGAAATGATGTAAAAGACATTTAAAATAATTAAGACATGAAAAATAGCGGTACCTCTGGCCTGAGAAGAGAAGGTCTCAGCAACTGCTGTTGCTATAAAAGAAAGCAAGAGAGGGTATTAATAGGCAGCAACAATAAAGAAAGAAATCTTAAGACAAGATCCTTCACAATATTTCGTACTTGGATACCTCCAAATTCAGCAAGCACTACAAAAATGCTCTGCACCTCCTATGGTAACATGACTTCATAGTGCACTGTTTATTTTACTTAATACAAAATTTGATTGTTTATGTGGTGGTTCTCTAAATTATTCAACTCAAAAACTTTTGTCAGAGCCCAAGAAAACAATTGCATCATGTGTGTTGGAACAACCCTCCACTGAAAATTTGGGGGGCACTGTCTCAGCCAAGTTGCTTGGCCAAAGCTGAACTGTAGGAGATGGGTAAGATCTGTATCTGAATTAAGAGATACTAATCAGCTTTGCAAAAGGAAGACAAATCAGAGTACAACAGAATAAATCTGCATTTTGTAAACCCACTAAGGAGCAGCAGACACCAGAGGCACATCCTAAGATTAATCAGTACTAATCAGTAAATATCAACCATTATGATGTAGTTTGGAGAACTTACTGAACGAGTTCATTTAGAAAATTCTCCATGTTATTCAATGCTAGAAAAATGATTCTATGGTTCTATGTGGGGAAATACTGGTGTTAGGTGGGCGGTTGCACTGCATGATCCTGGAGGTCTTTTCCAGCGTTGGCGATTCTCTGATTCTATGATTTTTATGAACAAAGATGCTGTGAGGACAGACAGCACTGGGTTGCAGAAAAGGCCCATGCTGAGCCCATGTGGTGGGCTATAGCAGATGATGAGACCTGCGGCTCTAAAACATGAAAAGCAATGGAGGCAGTTCCCTCGGAAACCTTTTGGCAGTCTGTCAAGCAGCAATCTTCCATCCTGAAGGTTATGCTTGTGCCACAGTGTTTACCAGCCATCTGCCAGTGCATCTATGCCTCCTGAATGCATCCAGTCTTTCTGAACCACTTTGGCCTCTAAAACATCCATTGTTTCACAACACAGGCTGTATGGAAGAAGTATGTTGATAGAAGCAGTAATTTAAATGTAAGCAGGAACAGCCTTACCTCTTGCTGTGCATATCCTCGCCTTGAGGTCAGAAAAAGAAAAGAAATACATTAGTATACTTCTGCTTGACTCTACAAAGATGCATACTGGCATTCTTTCTGGAGAGAGGTGAAAAGATAATGTGACAAGAAATATTACTAGCAAGAAAAGAAATGCATATCTACAATACAAAACATGTCTGTCTTTAGATTTGCTCTGCACATACAAAATGTTGCAGGAGGAAGGCTAGTGAATCTCTGGGATCTATTTTTGCTTAAGATTGCAAATGAATGAGAAGAAATCCCTAACCTGCAAAAGCCAGAGTGCCAGTGCACCCAGTGCAACACAGCAAAGGGGAGTGGAGTAAATAAAAGTTAAACGAGCACAGGCTTGGTTTTCCTTCTGTTTTTAGAAGATGCCCTGACATGTCACCTTCTCTGTTGTCTCCAAGACCTGGAATGACCATCTACAAAGAGACTGTTATTACACATACCTTTTTTAAGCAGTGAAACACTTCCTCTTCTACTTCTGGACTTATCTATGGTGGACTTGCTAGAAATTGGCCTGAAGCTTCTATTAGTAATTTAACTACATTATTATCATAATTACACATTTCCTAACACTTGCTCAGCGGGGGAGGAGTGGTATTATTTGTGCTATCTATGATTATTGTGCCACAGGCTTTGTGCTGTTGATCTCTGGAAATATCTTTGCTTATTTGAATTCATTTTCTTGGAGCCATTCATATGCGTGACAAATGCACTTACATCTATCGAGGTCTGTATCTTCACATTTTGTGCCAGAAAATTAAAATGATTAAGAACAGCAAACAGCAATTTAAGTCTTTGTATCACTGTGTTCTGTTTTTTGTTGTTGTTGTGTTTTTTTTTTTTTAATTATTATTATTTTTAAGAAGGAAAGAATGAATGTTCAGAAGTATGCTGAACTTAACATACTGCATAGCCAGCAGTCTCAAGGAGTCCATTAATTACACTTGAGCAAATAAAAAAGAACAGACTACAAGTCCTTACTATTCTTTACTGTTATCTCTAAAAATTCCTATTAATATTCAACACATGGAATTGATTATCAGCATTACATTAATGCTACTGCCCATATAATATGAAACTAATGCACAACCAAAATGAAGATCACAAGATGATATGTGACTTCTCAAAGCCCACATGAGCAACACTGTATTTAGCTTCCCTATCTCTCACAGCAATCTTCAGAAAAAGGTCTTGTGTTGCACAGAAGATAAGTAAACTTATTAATCTTAACTGCTCTTGAGTAGCCACTATATTGCAGATTAAAGTTTTAATACAAGGATCTATAATTTAGTTTGCAATTTAACTGTCTTAAAAGTAGCATAACACTCTATTTTGAGAATTGCTTATATTTCACTTATTTATAACTTTGTGTGGTCAGGATTAGGAAAAAAAGAAAACGGAAAGGAAAAAAAAAGTCCATTCACTCAATACAGCACAAGGATCTATTCTGACAAAAAGGCAAAGGTCAAAATGACATCGTTGGATTCCTGGAAGGAATTTAAAGTGTCTCTCCACTGAGGGAGGAATTGCTTCTGGATAAACATGAGCAGTCAAGACTCCACGGCAGTCAGTCTGAGAGAAAGCAAGAGTGCTACCCCTGTAGGATGTAGGATCATACGCCAGCTACTGCACACCCATGGTATTTTGTATGAGAGATGAAACAGGAATGAATTTGCACGTAGAAAATGTGGCAACCTTTCACAGGACTACGCTGCTATCATGAGTTAATGGAATTGTGGTTTGCCTAAAGCAACAATTTTCCCAATTACTGGCATCCCACCATGCTTTTGCTATTTCATACTTTTTATCTGTTTTCACATTGAAAAGGATCATAAAACTCAAATACTGCAGCTACTGATCAGTGGAAGCAACTGCTTATCAATTTGTCCCAAGTTTTAAAATGGAGATTTCCCACAGTTCATAACTCAAACCTGAAAAGAAAAAGAATCTGAAAGGGAGGTAAGCAATGATACATTACCGCTAGATTTCAGCTTTGCAAACAGTTCAAAGGGAGGAAGAGTTTTCTCTACAGATGCAATCTCTGTCCCTCATAACTCACCCTGGTCAAGCTGAGATAGAAGGACCAGAGGTTTATCAAGGATCACAACTGTCGGCAATTAACCAAACCTGACATCTCAAGAAGGGGTCAGTAAGCCTATATATGGTCAATTTTTTGTCAAGTGGAATACTGTTACACCTTATAGTGCATCCAGACATTTCTATGGGACAGAACTTCCCTGGCATGGGTCAAAGTACATGCTATTGGTACAATTTCTTTCCCAGTCTAATACAATTCTTTCTTTTTATTATTATTTTTAATAAAGGCTATTCAAGAAACCAGCAGGAGAACCAAGGTTGCTTTGATTGTAGACAAAAATAAATTAGGTTTCATAAACTCTTCAGATTAATAAGGGCTTCATTAATGAGAGAAAGTAGGTGTTCCTCATTAGTGAAGAGCTGATTACAATGACCCCCACAGGCTCTTCTGAGACTGACTGGATGAAACTAAATATTTAAAAAGGGACTTTTGCATGATGTCCAACCTTTCTGCCTAAGGAACACCACAAATACATACAATCTTTGAAGTTTACCTTGTGAATTACTAAGCATCTGCACATCCACTGCGTGACACTACACACTGCAAAATTAGGCCATGTTTGTCTAATATTTCACTAGTTGGTGTGATGAGCACCACAGAGGTATCTGCCATGGGTCTGAAGTGGGAGCTGGATACTTAAATACACATTTCTGATGTAAGAGTTGATCCAGTGTGAACATGCTCAGCACAACAATTTCCCATGCTCAACTCTGGACCATCAATTATCTCACTGAACCACAGCAGGTACACAGAAGCAGGTAATACAAGTATGCACCAATTCTTCTAATTCTGGCACTTAAATATTCAACACTTCTCTAAGAGCTGCTTAACTTTGACAATTTGCTGTTGCTGTGCCACTCAGAAAACTCAGCACTATGGGCAGCTAACATACATAGGTGAATCTCATAAATTATACAGACTGTTATGGCAAACATGCTGTGATAGATAATTGTTCCCCTCACACATTTGGCTTCTGTTCCTGTTCATTACGTGTCTTGGAATTACAGTCTAGACCAACAAGAGCACAGATTTCACAAGGCACAGAAAAATTCTGCTTCTAAAATTCAAGTCGGTGAAAGTTGTATGATGGACTTCATGGAGTTTGGCTCTGGGACAAAGAAAGAGAAATCACCTTCAACAGCTTCCAACTGAAACAGCCCTCCACATGTCCTAACTGCAGATTTAAAATAAAAAGAGAAAATAAAAAAAAGCCAAGCACCGTGGAAACGATGAGTATATCTGCAGACATAATTATCTTTTTGCTCTGAATTATAACATTTGATATTGAAGTGGTTTTCAGTATTTCTTCATTCTGTGATACCTGCCTATTCAGTGTTTATTTTCTTCTTTTTTAATAGTCATTTTAAACAAGTATATTCTGCATTTTGGCAAAGAACAAAATAATACTGACAAGTTGAACCAACCTAACATTCATTTAAATGCCCAAATTGCTTTTACTTACCATTTGTTCAAAGGACAAGCTAATTGAGTAAAATTCACAAATTTAATGTAAAAGTGTGATTTAGATGACTGGAAGCAAAAAAGCCAGTAGGTAAATTACAGGGATTTTTGCAAGTACTTCAGAAACCTTCATTTGGTGACACTAAACAGAATGACTTTATTACGTCTTAAGATGAGCTGGATGCTTTAGCTGTGTAGTCCATAGCATGACAGTTAAAAAGAGATGTCAACAACATGAACGTGCAAAAAAAAAAAAAAAAAGCTTTGTACATTAAATCATTTACAAAATAAAAACATTAAACATGCAGTTACAACATAAAAAATGCAATGGAAGGCATGATGTAAATGACACAAAGGAAAACAGCTGAGTTTACCAACAAATCAAGAGAATACCCTTCTTCTGCCTTGGGAAATGCAAATGTGAGCTAAAAGAAAGCATGCCAGCATAGCAGAGCACTGTGCCATCTCCCACGGAATGTAAAGATGCATTACTGTAACAACTCTGGCTCACTATTGCTGAGCCTGCTTGCTACCAGTACTCGCTTTCTTTGACACCCAACATTGGACTACTAGACTCCTCCCATTTGTACATCTTATGTGCAAAGCACGGAATTCCATTACAGCTACAGAAAAATCCCTCTGCTTACTGGTATTACCCACAGCGAGGGCAGCTTAATGTAAAGCAGTTATCAAACCCTCTGCCACCATTGGCTGAATGTTGTGAACAAACGGACAGTTTTCCCCAAGACTTTTAGGTAAACAGACTAAGAACCAAGGTCATTGAACGGTGCTGAGAGAACAACTTGTCCAATGACACATTACAAATTTCTGAGTGAACAGGTAACATAAAGTCTTTCCATTTCAGGATTAGGTAGGGAGTAGAAAGAGACAGCAGAGAAATGGAAAAAAAATGTGCATTTCTAGAGTCTGAGGCAGATACCATGTGCTGCATTAGAGTCATCGTGCTCAAAATGGTACATGCAGAAAACATTAAACCGAAAATATTACAGTGCTGTCGACTGAGACGGAAAGCGTTTCTCGAGCTCCTCCACAACACAGCTCAAGCTGCCGTTCTGCTGGTTGTGCTCAGCCGCAGCCTCGGGAGTTGGCAGCTCTGGTGTTGCAACTGGTTTGAGCTTAGAGATGTGCTTGGGCAGAACGTGGTTTTTGTCTATTTGGCTGTACATATTGGCCACAGACTTTTCAATTGCTGCTAAATTCTGAATGTTTTTAAGAATGCCTTTCAGCTCCCTACGGGGAGGTGGCTCTGGCACTGTGGCCAGTGGTGGTACAGCTGGCTGTTTGGCAGGGGATTTAGAATGCTTTGTGGGGGAGAGGTGTTGGGTGCTGGGAAGAGATGAAGAAGAAGGAAGAGAAGCAGGGGGCAAAGTTGGAGGACGGGGTGGCAAAAGAGGAGGGGATGGAGGTGGAGG